GGCCATCGCTTCTAGGTTGGAGACCATCGCTGTTAGGGTGGAGGCCACTGCTTCTAGGTTGGAGGCCATCGCTATTTGTTGTTGTCAATGATCCGTGGACCATGCAGAAACTACAAGCTGCTGAACAAAGCATTTCAAGCAGGAAAAGGCGATCAGCTTTGACGAAACAGCTCTTAAATGGACACGTGCCGCAGGTGCTGCTGCAACCGCCAAGATTCAGGAGAAGGCACAGTTCACCAATTTCATTCTATTTCAGTTATATAAATTTCTTTGCAGTTCGACCGGCAAGAGGGGGTGGCGGAAGCAGAGCAATGATAGCAATGCCTCCTGAATAGTTGATTCAGTTGATTCAGTCACTTGGGCTGAGTGCCAGGAGCCTACAAAAGTGCGCTCGGATCTGATCCGAGCTGTCTTTCGTGCCTGTGACACCAACGGGGACGACTGGCTGGGGGAGAGCGAGTTCCGCAACATTGTCTGATACTCAGATTTCGGATTTCCATTTCTTTCGTGACTTGTAGATTTGTATCTTGCAATTAGATTTGTTTCAATTCTAATTCTATAGTCGCCTCTTGTTTCTAATAGCAAACATTGTTCCTAGTAGTACGGCCAGGAGCCCCTAGTAGCGAACATTGTTCCTAGTAGCGATGCCAGGAGCCCCTAGTAGCGTCCGGATGGCCTTATTCAGTTGACCTTGTAAGGCCCGCTTCTACGGCTTTGACGGCAGCGACGAGGAGTGGTCAAGAGAGTTCAAGAAGCTATGCGAGGAGAAGAAGGTGGACCCAAAAAGGGGCATAGGCTGGGCAGACAGGTGGAACTGTCGGATCCTAGTTCCTTGGCCACCTTTTGTTACTTGCGCAGGCCAAACTCTCTTTGGCAAAATGCTGAACGAGGATGCGGGACTGCTTGCAACAAATGATGAACTCAGAAAGTGGCTCAAGAAGCTGGAGGACAACAACAAGCAGCAGCCCCAGAGCAGCGCCAGAAGGTTTTCCAAGCACATCTCAAGAATCGAGAGCCAATTTCTCTCACAATCTGGAACTGTTCGTGCAGCGAGGGCAGGGGTTTTCAACTACAAAAGAAGAAAGGTAAGAAAGGAAGAAAAGAAGGGAAGAAAGGTCCAAAGAACAAGAGAAACACAAAAAGGTACCATACGGTGGGAGAAGCTTTCTTAAGAACCCGACCTCTACTGTGGCAGGTGATAGCTTTCTTACTAGCAACCTTACCCACCCCTCATTGCTCATTCTTTGAAGCCTCCTCTTTTATTATTCGCAGTTCCAGGAAGACCGGAGGGTCCAAGGAGGCGAAGGCTCAAGGAGGTGGGCTTCTGGGCTTCTGGGCTTCTGCCGTCAGCGAAGCGACGTGACGCGATGACAAAGCACGTCGCCGGCATTGCCTTGCCGTAGCCGCAATGGTGCTTCAGGAGCTCCCAGAGAAGAGGAGGGAGATGAGTTCTACCACAAGCTGAAGAGGACTTTGGTTTGGTCTGGTTTGGTTAGAGCCTAGTTCAATATAGCATATACAATATAGCACCATGGCAACAGCTGTAAGTCTTGGCAACCCTGCTCTAATCTCTCATTCTGAGAAACTCTGTCAAGCAGGGTTAGGCCCTTACATGTGGTTGTGGGGGTTGTTGTTTTGGAGCTTGTGTGCTTTTTGTCCAGGCTAGCTTCACTTGATAACAGCAATTGACAAGACGATTCTCTGACCTTTGGCTCCGCGTGCAGAAGAGTTTCACCACATCGCGGTAAGGAAAGAAACAAACAAAGACGAGTTGTGTTGAGATGGGGAGAGAGACAAAACGCCTTGCTACTTCAACTTTTCCGTGCCTCATTGTGCGATGCCGGATGAGTCTTCGCACCTTGGCCTGGCTTGCAACGCTTATTCGACGATTCGTTTGGAAGAAGCCCTGAAACCCGCGGAGTGAACTAGACATGATTGACATCGGATTCCAAGGTCCGGAAGCCATGAATTGCAGATCCTGCGAAGACGTGTTAAGCGGCAACAGAGCCTTTTTGATCCTTAGGCCGCACTCGATTGGGACTTTTGATGTTACCGGTTTGGATGCAGAATCACCTTCAACGATCCACAAGGAAAGACACCAGTTGAAGCATATCGACATCTGTACCCTGGGCTCATGGATCGCATTTCACCGAGGAAGCGCAGGAGCGAAAGCGCTTGGAGGAGGAGCGGCAACTGGTGCAAGAGCCCCCCGGCGTCACGTCAAGGTGCAGGTTTGGAGCGGCATCAGGTGGATTGATAAGGACTCCTTTATAGTTCGTAATCTGAAGACTTCAACTTTCGCATGATGTACTTTGTTGGCTTGTAACTTTATTATATTTCTCATCGTTTTGGTCTCTTTGGCTTTTACATTTTCATTGACTAGCTGCATGAGGGCCGGTAGTGAACGATGTAAACCGGAAGGGTCATTGTTTCTGGCTGCAGGAGTTCTGGAACCAAGGTATTTGGACTACCTGCGCCAGAAGAAGCTACGGCAGCAGCAGGACCGTCGCGAGGATGAATGGCAAAAGAGATCGCGTAAAAGAGGGTGCCTTTGTTGATTGACCGTATTATTCGTCCTTAAATCGCGCCCGTTGAGATAGCACTTATTATGCTGTGCTGGGCGTGCCCGAAGCTAGGAGAAAGGTCGAGGCGTGCACGCACTTCTTTGTTCCCCTTGGTGCATTTCCTCAGACGCTTGAAACCAGCTACTACACGTGCAACCCTTAAATGGCTCAGGGAGGAAGACATTCACACCTTGCCAACGTGGTTTGACAGTGGGGATCCCTCACATCAAACGGAAGGATAACTCGAACAGTGGGGACCTCACTTGCAGATGTTCATTGTGAAAATGGAGGGGTGTTTTCCAGAAAACCGTCAGGAGCGACAGCAGCGCATTGCACGGGGCCGGGCTTTGGCGGCGGCCACTCGGCGCCAGGCAACCCTCGCTGCCCTGGAGGTAGCTGAGGTGGAGGAACTACCGGAGGCCGAAACAGTTGCGAGAGAAGGTGAAGGATTTGTGGAGTGCGGAAGGTTTAGCAGCACCCATTTGTCCAGGTCCCCTCGAGTCCACCATCCGTGAGGCATCTGGAGGCGGAAGGGCTTCAGTTGTGTTTCAGCTTTGGATCGCAGGTCTCAAGTCCTGAGGACAGTTGCTTCAAGGTGGCTATGTTTGTTGCAGTCTTTTCTTGCCTAAAGGCCTTCTAATGCATTTTTCACCAGATAGCGTGAGCTATTGGGGTTCTTGTCTTACTTAAAATATAGGAAGAGCTGCATGTGTACGTTTTCGAGCCTGGGTGCTGGTGCCGCTGCACTTGGGGGCTTGGGTGCTGGTGCCGCTGCAGGGTGTCGCTGCTGTGTGCGCTTGGGAGCATGGGTGCTGGTGCCGCTGCAGGGTGTGTGCGCTTGGGAGCATGGGTGCTGGTCAGGTGCGCGCGAGGGTGCTGCTGCGACATGTCTCTTGCCCTGTTCGCTTTGAATTTTGGGTGCTGGCACCGCTGAGCAGAGTGCCGCTGCGGATTGCGGCTGCACGGTGCTGCCCCACAGAACATGTTTTGCCACTTGGGGCCTATGCTGGCGTAATTTGGGTGACTGTCAGGGTGGCAGCCCTGTGAGCTTCCCTGTTTCGGAAGAGCAAGAGGAGAGGCGTTTTGGACAAGTCCTGCTTCTCAATGTGTTGTTTTCTGTCCACTTCCCGTGCTGTCTACTTCGGATGCAAAGGAGAAGGCAAGGGAGACAAGGCTTCTGACAGAGGAGTTTGTGCTCCAGGTGCCAGTCTGCAAAGCACTTGAAGTTGGTAGTGTCAATCAACTTGCAAGCTTGGCCAGGGTAAAAACCACAACGAAGTGCCTGCTACTTGGATGCCAAAAGAGCGAGATTTGGTCAGGCAGCCACACACACAGACGCACGTGAAATCGGAAAACTGTGCTTGAGCTTGAAAGTGTGACACGAAGATATGGGGAATGTACAAGCAGGATGTTTTCCGCCGTTCCCTCTCAAAAGAAGAGCTTGCAACGTTTCGTTTCTTGTGGTTGTGCTGTTGCATGACCACTCATAGGATGGCTGCAAATAGTTGGCTTTTCGTTTGGTAGCTTCCTGGGCTAAGATCATGAAGCGAATGGTGTGGGCAGTTCTCCTCGGCTTGGGGCTGATGGGGCTTATCTCGCAAAGAGATGCCCTTGCCAAAGTGCCAGTCTTTCTCAGCAACGAGCCAGAGCCAGGAGAAGCCAAAGCCATGCCAGACATAGCTGAAGTCCTGCCGGAAGATACCAAAGTTATGCCAGAGGCAGTGACCAAAAACAGAGTTGGAAGTGTCGAGGGCATGCAGATATTCTTGAGAGAGCTATGTGAGTTAAGAAAGTTGCCGGAGGTGGGCATCCAGAATTCTATGCGCTCTGTGAAGTTGGAGCTTAGGGAGCGCTTGTTCGCCGTTTTGGGGGAGGTGCTTTCAGGGGAACCCAAGCCTTTGCAAATGCTGCATCGAAGGCCCTTGGAGCCTGACTGCAACCATCCGAGCCTCGAGCATTTGCTCACAGGGCAGCGAAGGACAACACCCTTGATGCTAGTGGACATGCCCTCAGGCATGGGAGGAGGTCCGGAGTTGGACTTTATGGAGCTGCATATGTTGGAGCTGCAGGGCATTGCAGACCTTTTTGTGGTTGGTGAAACAGGTTACACCTTCAGGGGAGATAAAAAACCACGATTGTACCAGATGAACAGGGCACGCTTTCAGCCTTTCGAGAAGGCCACAGTCTACCTTGACATTGATCAATGCCTCCAATACCAGGAAGCCATCAAAGAGACCCGTGCATTTGCAACGGCTGGCAAGCTAGGGCAAGATTTGTGGGTGGTCCAGAATTGGCAGAGACGGTGCCTTTGGACAATGTGTTGAAATTCACCTCATCCCCATGGACCCCGTAGCGTTGGCTCAAGGTAGAGCAAAAGGTAGCGCTTACCGGGCTAGCAGGGTTAGCTAGGTAGTTAGTACTATTAGAGCTGATCCTGTAAAATACAGGTTATCAGCCGTAGGCTAGCTAGATTAGAGCTATGGACCCAATGGATGACGACGTCCCACCGAATGCCTATGGAAGTGGCTTTGACATAGTTCCGAGTGTGCCCAATAGTTTGGACGCAGTTCAACGGCATGAACAGGCAGTTGCACAAGTGGCTGCAATGGATCCAAGGGTTGCTTCGGAGGTGTACCAAGAGATGCTAAATAGTGGTGGTAGTGTTACTCTTCAAGAGGCGACGCAAGCTACCCTAGCAGGTATGCCGTCAGCCACCGTAGCTGGTGCGCCAACAGTAAACAACTTGTTGGCAATGACTCGGCTCAACGTCGTCAACCTGAATGCAACGCCAAACGACGAAGAACTACGACGGGAGTTACAACAACATGAGTTTTTGCTCAGCGAACAAGCCAGGAGGGAAGCTGAAATCGAGGCATTGCGCTTCAGGAGTATTTACGAAAGAGAAGCTTCCGAATCTATAGCGGCAACAAAGGCTGCCGCAGAGCAGGCAATGTTGAATGTTCAACAAAGGGCCCAACAGCAAGAACAAAGTGTTCAGCAAATGGTTCAACAGCACGACAATGTTGCAATCAAACGGTTGCAAGGTACATTGGAGGAGCAAAGGGAACATTTTCAACAGCGGCTAGCTCAGGCAACAGCAGCTCATGAAAAGGTTGTACAGGAAAAGAATGCCTTGGCAGAAGAAGGCAATGCTTTTGTTGACAGAATGAGAACTGAACATCGCCAGTATGTTGAGCAACAGGAGTCCAAGCTGAAGGCGGCCGTAGAGGCAAAGGATCAGGCAAGACATTCGTCTGCTGAAGAATCCCGGATCGCTATAGAACTTGACTTCAAGCGAGAACAACTGGACAGTTCGTTGGCAATTGCACAGGCAAAGATCAAAACCCTTGTTAATGAAATGGAGGCTACAAATAAGCAACACAGAGTTGATCGGGAAACACAAGAGCAAACTATAGTTGAGCTTCGCAAGGACAATGCAATGTTGAAGGGTGAAATGGATGAGCTCAGGCGTGTCGTACAGTCCTTGACAGACAGGGAAGAGGAACGCAAGGAAGCGGAGCGCAAAGCGCAATCCTCTAGCCCCGTTAAGCCAGGGCCGCAATACCCTGAGCCATTCACACCTCCTGCTCGACAAGATGCTCACCCAATTGGTCAACCGCAATCTTTTGAACCTCTACGCACGGAAGGCACTGTTCCAGCAACCTTAGACGGTAAGCCCCTTGATAAAGGTGGATCTCCTATAAAGACAGCTATGGATGCAACAGCGTCCGTGCGCAACACAGGATTCCCATCAATGTTCTCAGGGACAGGGGCGCCCGCAGCGGAACAGGCAACGGCCTCTACAGACAGGCAACAATTCAAACAACCGGATCCGTGGATGGAGTACATGAAGAAGTCAACACAATACAACTTCAGTGATGATCCTTTGTACAAAAGCTCCTTTAATCAGGAAGCAACAAAGACTAAGGATGATCGCAGAGAAGAAGGGCCGGCTTCTCAGGTAAGAACTCCACAAGACCAAGATTTGGGGGAAATCATCAAGAAGGCCTTGCTAGAAGGGTTTAAGGGCGCTAAAAGCAAAGACTCCGATAAGCCCAAGGCAAAGGAGGCTGACAAGATAGATCTCCCTGAATTCCCAAGTCCTGACAGGTACCGCACTTGGAGGGCCGCGGTTCGCGAAGCGATACGGTCCGCGTCCGATGACCCAGACGCTGCGTTCGCATGGGTGCTTGAGGTGTACGCCGTTCGTGAAGACAAAGCCAAGCTTTGTTCCGAACTGGCTGACCCAGGCAAGTTTCGGACCTTAGACACGAAACTACTTGCTGCTTTAACTAAGGTTGCCAAAGGTGAACTGTCTCAGCAGATCCTTAATTATAAGGAATCTGAGGCACAGCAAGGTAGGATCGTCCGTGGTCGTCAGGTGTTGCTCATGTTTGAAGTCCACTTCAAGACCAGTGAAGAAGCGGGTGCACTGTATGGCACTGAGGACCTCCTCAAGATCTCGCTTGATAGCGACGACTTGAAATCCTTTCTAAGAAAATGGGAGAGTGTTCTGACCGGAATGAGTCATGTCCCAGACCCGGCAACTCTCAAGGATCTGTTTTATAGAGAGGTTAGGAAGTCCCGCAAGCTCAGATTTGACCTTGATGTTTATGAACGAGCGCCGGAGGGAAGTAACGACAGAAGCTATGAATTTCTTATCAATTCTGTTCGACGTTACCTTGACAGGGAAAGGCTCAGGACCAATCGCGAAAAGATATCACAATCACACGCGGCAAAGTTCGCAAACCCGGCACCGCACGACAAGCGCACGCGAAGCCCAAGTTATGGCAAACGAAGCACAAAGGGTGACGGAAGCAATCAATGCTATGAGTATGCCAAAACTGGTAAGTGTAAGTACGGGAGCAAATGCAAGTACTCACACGACTCTAGCGCCCGTCCCCGCTCCCTTAGTCGGGAGTCGTCTCGTTCGCGTAGCGCAAGTCCGAGCAGCCGTTCATCGTTCAGGTCAAGCCGATCTCGAAGTTCGTCAAGACACACTTCCCGCTCCAGTTCAAGGAACTCATCAAGAAGCTCAAGTAGAGGGAGGAAATCTGACAAGCCATGCAGGTTCTTTGCAAAGGGTAACTGCAAAAGGGGTGACAAATGCCCGTTTAAACACGGAGACACCGCAACACCAGCCCCGCGCAGAAGGAGTCCCTCGCCCGCAGCTAAAAGGTCTAAGGACAAGAAATCCAAGAAGGACAAAAAGGACAAAAAGAGCAAACGGGAAAAGAAGGACAAAAGTCCAAAGGCCAGTCCATGTATTCAAACAGGTTTCGCAATGTCTTGCTTAGCAGTAACCGCAACTCGGACCCAAAAGAGTAAAGACTACTGGGAATTCTCCAAAGATGGCAATGAGTTGATTAGGCACCATTTGAAGCCTAGGCACAGGTCGTTTCTCCCAACACGTAAATCCTGTCCAGTTGAGTCATCTAGGTTGGAAGACCAGTTTACCATGGTAGTCACTGACTCAAAGGGAAAGAGTAGGACAATCAAGGGTAATTGGAAGAAACGCCCAAACGCGAAACAGAAATTTGATTGGACTGGAAAGTCAATTTTCCGTGTTGTGCAAGAGAAGAGAATTCGTTTTGAATTAGAACCGGAGGTACACACCTTTCCTGTTTGGAAGGAAATGTACCGGCATGTAGTGAATAAGAGCAAGAAGCGGAACCTGTTCCGGACCACTGAGGAATGCCCAAAGTCCCGCGAGTGTGACACTAAGGACGCCATTTTGGCAGCGGAGTCACTTAGGCAGATGCTCGTTTCGATGGATACCGAGGAGCCTGCGTGTGATTTCCTTTGTGAGCATTCCCCAGAAGGCCCCGATGATTTGTGCTGCACAAAGTGCAGAACGGTTGTCGGAGAACAGGTGCCGTCATGCGCTCGCTTAACAGCGATGCCAAATATGGTTGGTATGGAGAAGTGGCTCGGTGACACTGGCACTGACCAGGACATCGTAGGCAAGGACTCTAAGACAGTCAACAGGGCCACCAAGATCTTCAAATCCAACGAACCAATCTCCCTCACTACTGCCAATGGACCTATCACTGCTGACGAAGTAGTAGAGGTGATCTTGCCAGGGTTATGTGAATCCTTCAACCCCTACATTCTCCAAAGTACTCCCTCTGCACTTTCAATTGGTTTGAGGTGCTTAGAACAGGGATATGATTTTGTTTGGGGAAAGGACACTACTCCCATATTTCTTCGACCTGATGGACAATGCGTTAAATTCAAATTGCAAGGTAGGGTTCCATATATTGATGAAACATGTACCCCATTCT